GGCGGTACGCGAGAAGGAGTGAGAGGATAAGAGAAGGGAGGGGTACTCACCGCGCCCGGCTCACATCCCCAATAGCCTGCACAACCGACATATCAATCGCGTCCTGGTTCTCCGTGCGCGACGCGTACGCCGCAAGCAGGATCACGTCGTCCGCCGAGAAGGAGCTGCGAAGAGCGTTATCGTCAGTCACATTATCTTATATTTACCAAGTTGGATAGCTTGGTATCAAGAGGAAGGGACGCACGAATAAGTCAAGATCGTCTCCCGATCAATAGTGAGCTTGTTGGTCGTCAGCGTGCCCGTCTTGTCAGAGCACAGGATCGTCACGCCCGCGAGTTCCTAAAACGCAAAACGCGTTAGCGGTTGTCATTACACAAAACAAAGTCGTCTGCGCCCCCGTCTCCATGCACCTCGATGTGACCGGCGTCCGCATCGATGTGAGGGGCGAAGGACGCGGCAAAGATAAAGGTGGAGTACGAGAAAGGACGCAACACACACCTCAATAGCAGTAATCCTCGTAACGATCGCCTTGTGCTTGGCAAGCTGCTGCGCGCCCACGGCGAGCGTGACCGACAGGACGGTGGGCATAGCGATGGGGATGCCACCGATGAGGAGGACGAGGATGTTGTCGAGGCCTGGGTGAGCGAGCGTTAGCGAGCGAGCACGGCGGTACGAGCGAGTGAGCCGTGAACGTTAATCAATACACGCGAGCGAAGCGAGCACGGTACTCGTGCTCGTGCTCGCTGCGTCATGTGCGGGCACGAGACACGTCGTCGTACTCGCTCTTGAGTAAAAGTAGGAAGTTCGACGCACCCCTCCGATAACTATACCGAAACCCAGCATACAGCACCAGTATCTCCGCCACCACGAAGATGCCAATGGCGACGAGGCAGAAGGAGCCGATCTGGGCGAGGATCTTTTGGAGATGGCCGGTGGTGTCGTCGTCTTGGCCGACGAGGGAGGCGGCGCGGCCTGCGGGGGCGTTAGCGACCTTGAACAACAGGGGCCTTTTTGGGGAGACATAAAGTGGGGGGAAGAGGTGGGAGGGGAAGGCAAGAGCGGGAGGGGAGGGGAGGGCGAAAGGTGGGGCAGGGGAAGGGAGGGGTAGGGAAGGAAGGGGAAGGAAGGGAGGGACGAAGGCAAGGGAGGGAGGAGAGGAGAGCGAAGGCATCGCGGGAAGGGGGAGGGACGAAAGAGAGGCGAGGAGGTGCGTAGGTAGGGACGAGGGAGGCTGGGGGGTGCAAGCCAAATGGTAAAACGCGGAAGAAGAGCGGTAGCAGGGAGAAGGAGGAGGAAGAAGGCAAAAAAGGACGCAAAGGTGAAGGAAGAAAGAACGCCAACCCACCAAAGAACGTATTAGCGCCAGTAGAGATAACCACGCCCTCCGCCTCGCCCTGCTTGCAGGTCGAGCCACTATAGGACAAAATTATCGTCAGCTCATTGCGTCACGGTAAATCAACAAGAAAGTGAGACATCAATATCAATAAAGAGATAATTAAAGAGGGAGGAACGCAAAATGTCAAATGAAATGAATGAATGAAACGCGATAAGGTTTAGACGAGGAGATAGGAGGCTAGGGTAGGGTAGGGGCGGAGTTAGGGTGCGGTGGGGCGGAGATAGACGGCGTGCGTCGCCAACGCCGCGCCGCGGAGAAACAACGACGGAGACGACGAAAAACAACGAGGGGAAAGACGACGGAAGAAAGGACGGAAAGGACGGAAACTCACGAAAAACACTGATCCCCCAGCTTTTTACTCTGCGGCAGACTCTCCCCCGTCAACGCCGCCTGGTCGATGCTCACATTGATCGCCTCCGTGAGCCTACAATCCGCCGGCACGATGTCCCCAATCTTGAAGCTGACCATATCCCCCGGCACCAAGCCCGCGCTCTCAATCTCGGACCACGAGCCGGCGCGCTTGACCTTGGCTTTGGGTGCGAGGGAGTCCATGAGGGCCTTTACGGCGTTGCCGGCGCCGCGCTCCTCGTAGAAGCCGATGGCGGAGTTGATGAAGAGGAGGAGGACGATGCCGACAAAGTCTTGCCAGTCGGGGGCGCGGTGCTCGCCGTTGGAGAGGGCGATGGCGACGAGGGCGGCGGCTTCCATGACCCAGGAGAGGGGGTTCCACATGAATGAGAGGAACTGTAATATCGTTAGTATGTAGTGTGACACGGGGAAAGGGGGACAAACCTGCAAGAACGGATTCTGGTCCTCCTGCTCGAGCTTATTGGGCCCAAAGAGTTCCAGACGACGGACAGCCTCGTCGGGGGACAAGCCATTCTCGTCGCACTGGAGCAGCTTGAAGACGTCGTCGATAACGATAGTCTCGAGGTCGACCTTCTCCTTGTCGTAGAGGTCCTCCGCCTTGAGCTCGATGGTGCTCATGTCGACGTTGGCGTGGGTCGCCTTTTCCTCGTCGTGCGTGAACTCTTTGTACTCGCGCTTCTTGCGCTCGGGGGCAGCACCGGGGGTAGAGGCGGGGGCAGGTGCAGCAGGAGAGGAGGTGGGGGCAACGGGGGCAGGGTCGCCGCCCGGAACCTTTTCTGTCGAGTCGTCGGCCATTGCTGTTGTAGTGAGAGGCGAACGAGCGAGAACAGATCCCACGCCGCTCACTTTTATTCCATCCCCCATCATAAACACCAAATACACGTCAATATCAGATCGCTTCCGTTGCCGCGACGACGCCCCCTTCAAATACATAACATCCCTTTCCGCTCGGTAAACTGCTCTTGTTTATTGTCTACACCGAGGTGGAAGGAGGAGGAATATGAGTCAGACAGAGCAAGGAGGTCTAGAGCCCAGCAGAGTAAAATGTTGGTTGGTTTATACATCTCGTAAGACCATGTGCACCCCATCATTCCTATCATTGCTCGTCGTCGGGCACTCGCTGGCACTCCTCGGCGACGACAACCACCACCCTGACTTGGCTTCTTCTTCAACTTATTCCTTCTTCCTTCTTCACTGCTGCGTTGCCGCCTGCCACCCCTCACTGTCCGCAGTTCAATATTCGTTCACCCGCGTTTGGGCGACCTGTTTCCGATCGCGGTACTGTAAGCGCGATTACCAACACGCGCGTTTCCGTCGCAGCCCTAAGCCTTTCTTCCGACCGTCGCAGCCCTTTCTTCCTTTCTACCGCACCTCGGCACTCGGCCCGCACACGCAAATATATCCTTCCTGTTCCTCTTTCTCCCGTCCGAGGATACATGCAGCACTACTGTAACGCTAAACCCATCCCGGCCTCGGGCAGGGCAGGCAGGGAGGCAGGGACCGCTGCGGCAGAAAGTAAACACGCCCATAACTTATCGTCCGACGTCGCGTCCTACCGTCGGCGTTAACAATGTGGGTTACCGTACGGTTATATCTTATTGCTATTTCGGGATTCCCGTGCATGACGTCTGCGGCGTTCACCTTTCTTCCTTCCCTTGCTCCCACACCGAAGGACGCAAGAAGCCCGCTTCTGCCCGTCCCCACCAATCCCCCTTCCTCCACGGGTTTCGCGCCTGCAAGGAGTACGATGTAGAGTACAGCCAAGCCAAGCAAAGTGGGTGAGGTGGGTCACGGGCGACCCGCCATGCCAGCGCGTGTGAATCGCCATTGGTTGCCCAACAATTCCGCATTTAGCCGTTCCGCCATTTCGACATTTCACATCTTTGTCTCGACACCCAACAATTCTGTCAGCGCGGCATCTCCGCAAGGATATAAATACGAGTGGGAATGTATAAATGGGACTCGGCCGACGCCCACTAAGTATCTCGTGGCACTGGCAGTAATTTTAAAACGGACGCGCACAGCTGAGGGAATTCTGCCCGGGGTCGACCGTGCAGTATAGTCGTGCGGAACGCGTTTATTCGGGATTGCCCGGGGTCGAGTGGAGGCGCGGTGTATCCCTCATCCTCACTCCGATGTGCTATCAGTTTTTCGAACCTCAAGGTTCGGTGACCAAAGCACTTCTCTTCAAATATTGACTCCCAGCAGCTTTCAATACCAACTCACTGGCAGTCTAGACTGACTCAACCCAACAAACTCGTTCCCCCCCTCGAATTTCACAAGTGAAGCCTTCACGCAAGTCCGGAACGCGATCACACCACCCTCCCGCCTTTCTCCCTCTCGCTAACTGCTAAATCCGCACCGGTACAAATATATAAATGGCCGGCCGTGAGTGATGTAAACAGTACCGCACAGCTGAGGGAATTCTGCGCGCCCGGGGTCAACCGTTCAGTATAATCGCGTGAAAAGATTTTTCAACGAGGGTTTATTCGGGATTGCATCGAGTCGAGTCGAGGCCGCACAGTGGGTGTATCCCTCATCCTCACACCGGCCTTCTCCGAGTCCGTCCGTCCGTTTTTCGAACCTCAAAAGGTTCGGCGACGAAAGTACACTTCGAAATACCGACTGCCAGCTGGTCTCAACACCACCAAAGTCGTTCGCTCCTCAAATTTCATACGACGCGATCACATGGCCCGTCCGCGATCTTCCAAATTCCACCCACAGATACATACATGGCTCACTCGAGCTTCGAACCCGAATCCGGCCCCACCGCAATTAGGTCAAGTACACAAATACATAGACCACCGGCCCGTCTCGCCGTTTAACACCACTACAACCAAGTGCTAAATCCGCCCCGCACAACGTGCACCCCACGCTACCTCTATGTAACTCGAATAACTCCGAATCCGAGTCTCCCCGCCGGCTGCGGCTGCGCGGCAGTGGCGCCGATGTGCTAATCCTGTTCCTACCTCCCCCGTATATAACTAATTATAGTTAAGTGGCAGGTACATAAGCCCCTCAATTAACCCAGACTCTCCACCATGTATTAATACTACTATGATACCAGCTCTGGCCTCGGCCCTGAGGTGTCGTCATATTCGGTAATCGGGCTAGACTGGGTTATTATCTTCAGGTACTCTGAATGGCTCGAAATAGGAATATTCTTTTCAACATGATTCAGCTCATGAGTTTTTCTTTTCTTTCAGGTATGAGAAGGGAGGACAAAGGGAAGAGACACCTGATAGCACATGGTGTGCACCTGCATCACTTGGGCGAGAAAAATAATTGAGCAGCAGGAAGCCCCGTTCGATTCGGGGTCGGGTGATGGTTTGTCGGTTATGAGACATGTTTTTATTTCGACATTAATTGATTTTCCTGTGGGATTGGTCAGTATAGCGAGGATGTGAATAGGTATAGGAACACCCGATAGCACATGGTGTGCACCTGCACCACTTACATGGTTATCATCATCGTTTGAGCAGGAAACCTGTTCGATTCGGGGTCGGGTGCTTACAGGTTCTGCTTAACTTTTTTCTTCATCAACATTGATTTATCCTACCTCAACATTGGGCAATACAGTCAAGGGAGGAATAGATGGAGAGCACCCGATAGCACATGGTGTGCACCTGCACCACCTAATTCATCCTCTAGACACTTTGAGCAGGAGACCCGTTCGATTCGGGGTCGGGTGATAGTTACTCGACATCTCCCTTCCTTTTTCTTCCTCAACATTGATTTATTCTGCTTCAGGCTTGAGGAGAATAGTCAAGGAAGAAACATGTAAAGGAACACCCGATAGCACATGGTGTGCACCTGCCTCACTTGTATTGTTCCGCTCAATCTAGTTTAAGCAGGAGACCCTCGTTCGATTCGGGGTCGGGTGATAATGTCGCAATATGCTGGCCCTTCTTTCTTGCACATTGAGATGTTGTCTTGAAGTCATGGATAAGAAGCACACAAGGAATAGATGGGCAACACCCGATAGCACATGGTGTGCACCTGCACCACTTACATTGTCTCCAAACATTCTGAGCAGGAAACCCTCGTTCAATTCGGGGTCGGGTAGTCCTCATGCTACACACCTTTTTTCTTTTTTTTTTTTTTAAAAAAACATTGATTCATTTTCGTGTCTCAAGCTCTGTACATACAAAGAGCACACAAGACACAGGTGTAGGAACACCCGATAGCACATGGTGTGAACCTGCACTACTTGTGTTGTATGTGAATATTTGAGCAGGAGACCCGTTCGATTCAGGGTTGGGTGATATATGCTCCCTAGTTCCTTTTTTTTCAACAGTGCTTTATTCCCCCTAGATAGGGCAATACAGTCAAGGAAAATCCAGGTATAGGAACACCCAATAGCACATGGTGTGCACCTGCACCACTTGCACTGGGATCGGCACACTTTGAGCAGGAGACCTCCGTTCAATTCGAGGTCGGGTGATACATTTCCTCTTTGCTTCCAATTTTTGTTTTTGAACATTGATTTTATCCTGCCTCAAAGTTGTGTATAAAGAGCACACCAGGAAAAGATATAGGAATACCCGATGGCACATGGTGTGCACCTGCACCACTTCGTTGTTTTATCTTCCAAGAGTTTAAGCAGCATGGTTCTGCATGTTTCTCTTTTCTTTTTGAAACATTAAGTTATCCTGCCTTGAAGTCATGCATAAAGAGCACACAAGGAACGGGTACAGGAACACCCGATAGCACATGGTGTGCGCCTGCTCCACTTATTTCGTGATCCAGAGTTGAGCAGGAGAGCCCGTTCGATTCGGGGTCGGGTAATAAATTTCAGTACATTGGTTTTTTCTCCCTCTTGATATTGATTCCACCTGGGGATTAGCCTGTATAGGGAGGGAATAATAGATATAGGAACACCCGGTAGCACATGGTGTGCACCTGCAGCACTTACATTGTTCTCAAATACTTTGGCAGGAGGCCCTTGTTCGATTCGGGGTCAGGTGATTTACTTTCCGCGTCCAATTTTTTTCAACACAATTCTGCCGCAAAGTCATGCATAAAAAGCACATGAGACATTGGTAGGGAACACCCGATAGCACATAGTGTGCACCTGCACCACTTCCGATGTGATCAGCCAAGTTTGGGCGGGAGACCGGTTCGATTCGGGGTCGGGTGCTGCGCCCATGCACTTCCACCTTTTTTTTTATGGTGTGCACCTGCACCCACTTACATGACAATTCACAAGTTTGAGTAGGAGACCCTCGTTCAATTCGGGGTTGGGTGCTTACAAGTTCTCCTTAACTTTTTCTTCTTCTTCAGTGTTGATTTCATGTGGGTGTGAGATTGGACAGTATACTCAAGGAAAATCTAGGGAGGGGAACACACAATGGCACATGGTGTGCACCTGCACTACTTACTTGGTCCCTAAGTCTCAGCAGGAGACCCCTGTTCGATTCGGGATCAGGTGATAGTCCCTCAACAACTCCCTTCTTTTTTTCAATGTTGATTCATTCGATACCCAGCATAGCCAGGAAGGAATTGGTGGGGAACATCCGATAGTACATCGTATGCACCTGCATCACTTTCGTCTGGGATCAAGATGGTTTAAGCAGGAAAACCTCGTTCGATTCGGGGTCGGGTGGTTGGGATGATTCAGGGATGCTATCTCACCTTTTATTGAGCATTGCAATATTCTACCCGAAGTTATGCAGAAAGAGCACACAAGGAAAAGGTGTAGGAACACCCGATAGCACATGGTGTGCACCTGCCCCACCTAGATTGTCGAAAATGGTCTGAGCAGGAGACCCTCATTCGATTCGGGGTCGGGTGGTTACGTCGGATTCATCAGAAGATTTTTTTGAACATCGATTTTATTCTGCCTCGAAGTTGGACACAAAGAGCACATAAGGAACGGGTATAGAAACACCCGATGGCAGATGGTGTGCACCTCCCTCACTTGCGGTGTATTCAAAGAGTTTAAGCAGGAATCCTCGTTCGATTCGGGGTCGGGTGGTTTCCGTACTCCTCATGTTTTTCTTGAACATTGATTTCTTTTGCCTTGAGCATGGGGAATGGTAAAGGAAGGAGGATAAAGTGAGGAACACCCGATAGCACACGGCGTACACCTGCACCACTTGCGTCTGTGGTTAAGATTGAGCAGGAGACCTGTTCGATTCGGGGTCGGGTGGTTGGGATGATTCAGGGATGCTATCTCACCTTTTTATTGAGCATTGCAATATTCTACCCGAAGTTATGCAGAAAGAGCACACAAGGAATAGGCGTAGGAACACCCGATAGCACATGGTGTGCACCTGCAGCACTTACATTGTTCTCGAAATACTTTGGCAGGAGCCCTCGTTCGATTCGGGGTCAGGTGATTTACTTTCCGCGTCCAATTTTTTTCAACACAATTCTGCCGCAAAGTTATGCATAAAAAGCATATAAGACATTGGTAGGGAACACCCGATAGCACATGGTGTGCACCTGCACTACTTTGGTCGTTTTCAAAACTTTGAGCAGGAGAGCCTCGTTCAATTCGGGGTCGGGTGATACATTTCCTCTGCACTTGCAATTTTTGTGCTTGAACATTGATTCATTTTCCTGTCTCAAACTCTGTACGAAGAGTAAGAATAGAGTAAGTATAGGAACGAACACCCAATAACACATGATGAAAACCTGTACCATTTATTGTAAGGAAACTTGAAGGTTGAGCAGGGAAGCCAGCCTCGTTCGATTTGAGGTTGGGTGCCTCGACTTCCAGCGGAATTTCTTTTTTTCTTCCTCGACATTGATTTGTCCTGCCTAATGAGGGATGAATAGATAGATATAGGAACACCCGGTAGCACATGGTGTGCGCCTGCATCACTTACGTCGTGATTGAAAATGTTTGAGCGGGAAGCCCGTTCGATTCGGGGTCGGGTGATTTACTTTCCACGTCGATTTCTTTTCAACACAATTCTGCCTCAAAGTCATGCATAAAAAGCACATGAGACATTGGTAGGGGACACCCGATAGCACATGGTGTGCACCTGCCTCACTTAAGGTCATCCTGTAAATACTGTGAGCAGGAGACCCTCGTTCAATTCGGGGTCAGGTGATGAGACAGCAAAATCGCAAAATCACTCCTTTTTCTTCCAATTGATTCCACCTTAAACTCTGTACCAAGGGCACAGAAAGTAGGTATAAGAACACCCGATAGCGCATGGTGTGCACCTGCACCACCTAATTCATCCTCTAGACACTTTAAGCAGGAGACCCTCGTTCGATTCGGGGTCGGGTGATCACGTCTTCCTCCGATTACTTTTTTCTTGAACATTGATTTTATTCTGCCTCGAAGTTGGACACAAGGAGCACACAAGGAATAAGTAGAGCAACACACGATAGCACATGGTGTGCACCGGCACCACTTAGATTGTGTAATTTTAGGAAAATTTGAGCAGGAGACCCCGTTCGATTCGGGTCGGGTGGTCCAGCACTATCAACTCTTTTCTTTTTTTTCAACATTGAGTTATTTTCTTCTGGGATTAGCCCGGTAAGGAATAGGTATAGGAACACCTGATGGCACATGGTGTGCACCTGCACCACTTATATCTGTGCTTAAAGTTGAGCAGGAAACCCTTGTTCGATTCGGGGTTGGGTGGTTCGCATGCTACACACCTTTTTGTTGAGCATTGATGCATTCTGCCTTGAGCTTGAGGAATAGCCAGGGAAAATGTAGTTACAGGAACACCCGATAGCACATGGTGTGCACTTGCTAGACCTAGTTGAATTCGCACGGTACCAATGCAGGAGACCCGTTCAATTCGGGGGTCGGGTGATACAATTGCCCCACTTTCTTTTTTTTCAACATTTGTTTATCCTGTCTGGAAGTTGTGCATAAAGAGCATACAAGCACTAGGTGTAGGAACACCCGATGGCACATGTTGTGCACCTGTAGCACTTACGGTGTAATACAAAAAGTCTCAGCAGGGAACCCTTGTTCGATTCTGGATCGGGTGATATGTGTGCAATCACGCACTATTTTTTCATTACTGACCTTGGGATGAGGAGGTATACCGGAGAAAGCAACAGCTATAGAAACACCCGATAGCACATGGTGCGCACCTGCACTACTTACATTGGGTGCAAGAAAAGTTTGGGCGGGAGACCCGTTCGATTCGGGGTCGGGTGCTTAGACTCTCCTCCTCATTTTTTTCTCTTGATGTTGATTTCACCTCGAGATTAGCCAGCATAGTTGAGGATGGAACAGGTATAGAAACACCCCATAGCACATGGTGTGCACCTGCTACATTTAGGTGGGAGTGATCAATGAAGCCGGAAACCCTCGTTCGATTCGGGGTCGGGTAATAACATCCCTCTTCA